TTTCTCTGATGATGAGTGAGGCTGAGCACTTCTTCATGTGTCTATTGGCAGCCCGTAAATATTCTTTTGAAAATATCTATTCATGTCTTTGGCCCACTTTTTAATGGGGTTGTTTGCTTTTTTCCTTTCAGCACATTTGAATTCCTTGTAGATCCTAGATGTTAGACCTTTGCCAGATATACAAGTGGGCATTTTTTCCTATTCTGTGGGCTGTCTCCTTGCTCTCTTGGTTTATTTTGCATTGCAGAAGCTCATCAGTTGAATGAGATCCCGCTTGTCTATCTTATTTCTTATGGTATGGGCACTTGGGGTTTTAATCAGGAATTGGTTGCCAGTTCCAATTTCCCCAAGGGTATCTCCTGCATTATCTAAGATTCTTATAGTTGGAGGTTTTTTGTTCCATTTAGAGTTAATTAATTTTTGTGTATGGTGATAGGTAGGGGGCCTGTTTCAATCTTCTGCATGTGATCAGCCAGTTTTTCGAGCACCATTTACTAAATAGGTTCTCCTCTCTCCAATGATTGTTGTTGGAGGGTTTGTCAAAGATGAATTGGTTGAGAAATTGAGACTTTGCTTCCAGAATCTCTATTCTGTTCCATTGGTCTATATACCTGTTCTTGTACCAGTACCAGGCTGTTTAGATTATTGTAGGTTTGTAGTGAAGTTTGAATCTGGAAGTGTGATACCTCCTGCTTTGTTTCTTTTGCTGAGGATTGTTTTAGCTACTCGTGGTATGTTTCTGTATGAATTTCTGTATTGTCATTTCCAGGTCTGAGAAGAATGATGTTGGCAATTTAATGGATATTGCATTAAATCTGTAGATTGCTTTTGGTAGGATGGACATCTTAACAATGTTGATCCTTCCAATCCATGAGCATGGAATATTTTTCCATTTGTTTGTGTCTTCGTGGATTTCTTTGAGCAGTGCTTTATAGATCTTGTCGTAAAGGTCTTTCATTTCTCTGGTTAGGAAGATGCCAAAGTATTTCATTTTTTTGTGGTTATTGTGAATTGTGCTTTTCATTTGGTTCTCTGCCTGTTTGTTGTTGTTGTATGAGAATGCAACTGTCTTTTGCACATTTATTTTGTTCCCCAAGATTTGCCAAAGTCCTTTATCAGTGCAAGCAAGTTTTTGACAGAATCTTTTGAATTTTCATGGCATAGGATCTTATCATCTGCCAAAAGGGACAACTTGATTTCCTCTTTTCCCATTTGAATACCCCTGATTTCCTTCTCTTGTCTAATTGCCCATGCTAGGACTTCCAACACAATGTTGAATAAGAGGGATGAGAGTGGGTAGCCTTGTTTTATTCCAGTTTTCAGGGGAAATGGTTCCAGTTTCTGTCCATTTAGCAATATGTTAGCTGTGGGTTTATCATAGATGGCAGTTACTAATTTGAGGTATGCTCCCTGTATACCTAGGGGTTTAAGGGTTTTTATCAAGAGGGGATGCTGGATTTTATCAAAAGCTTTTTCTGCGTCTAATGATATAATCAAGTGGTTTTGTTTTTTACATCTGTTGATGTATTTAATTACATTTATGGTCTTGCCAATGTTGAACCAGCCCTGCATCCTGGGGATGAAGCCCCCTGGGTCATGTTGGATGATTTTTGAGATGTGTTTTTGGATCCTATTTGCTAGAATCTTGTTGAGTATTTTTGCATCTACGTTCATAAGGGATATTGGCCTGTAGTTCTCTTTTTTGTTGGATCTTTACCCCGTTTGGGTATCAGTGTGATGTTAGCTTCATAAAATGATTTGGGGAGAATTCCATCTTTCTCAATTGCCTATTATTTTCAATAGGGTTGGTATCAGATCCTCCTTGTAAACTTTGTAGAATTCTGCTGGAAAGCCATCTGGTTCAGGGTTTTTTGTTTGTTTGTTTGTTTTTGATAGGTAGTTTTTGTATGACAGAGTCAATTTCCTGTATTGTTACTGGACTATTTAGTGTCTCAATGTCTTCTTGTTTCAACCTGGGGAGGTTGTGTGATGTCAGAAAGTTCTCCATTTCATTTAGGTTATCAAGTTTGTTTCCATATAGGTGTACACAGTAATCTCTGATCGTCTTTTGTATTTCTTCGGGGTCAGTTGTGATGTGATCTTTTGTATTTCTGATTGTGTTTATTTGGGCTTTTTCTCTCTTTTTCTTGCTCATGCTGGCTGGAGGTCCATCAATCTTGTTAATTCTTTGCAAAGAACCAGCTTTTTGTTTTGTTGATGTTTTCTATGTTATTTTTCTCTTCTACGTCCCGTATTTGGGCTCTTATTTGGTGATTTGGATTCTTCTGCTAAAGTTAGGGTTTTGGTGGTCTTCTCTTTCTAGCTCCCATAGGTAATTTATTAGGCTCTCAACTCGTTATCTTTCCATTTTCTTGATGTGTGCTCATAGAGATTTGAATTCCCCTCTTAGAACTGTTTTCATGGTATCCTAGAGGTTTTAGTAAGATGTTTCTTCATTTACATTTGTTTCCAGGAATTTTTAAATTTCTGCTTAATTTCAGTGTTGACCCAGTAGTTGTTTAATGCTGTTTAGTGTCCATGTCTTTGTGGTGATATTTATTTTTATTCCACTGTGTTGGTATTTGTTGGTGTTGATATTTATTTTTATTACACTATGGTTTGAGAAGGTGTGTGGCAATATTTCAACCTTATGGAATTTGTTTGTTCTTGCTTTATGGCCAAGTATGTGATTGACCTGGGAGTATGTTCCATGAGGTGATGAGTAGAATGTATATTCTGTGGTTGTTTAGTGGAATAATCTGTAGGTATCTATTACGTCTATTTGGTCGAGTATCAAGTTTAGGTTCTGGATCTCCAGGTTGATTTTTTGCCTTGATGATCTATCTAGGGCTGTTAATGGGATATCCATGTCCCTGCTATAATAGTGTTAGAGTCAATATCTTTTTACTTAGTGGTTGCTTTATAAATGCTGGTGCTCCTGTGTTGGTTGCATATATGTTTAGGATGGGTATTTCTTGTTGATGGATTGAACATCTTATCATTATGTAGTGTTCTTTTGTGTCTTTTTAAATACAAAATAAAGGTTGTTTTTTCTGATATTAAGATCATAACTCCTGCCTTCTTTTATAATCCCATTGCCTGGAAACTTGGTTTCCATCCTTTAACTTTGAGTCTGTGTGTGTCCCTTGTGGTGAGATGAGTTTTCTGGATGCAGAAAATAATTGGGTCATGGTTTCTTATCCAGTTTGCCATTCTGAGTCTTTTCAGTCATGCATTTATTCCATTCACATTCAGGCATATTATTGAAATGTGCTTGTTTATCCCTGTCATGAGGTTCTTATAAGTCTTTTCTTTGTTTGCTTGTTTTCTTTTGGCTTTGGGGTTGATGTATGTGTGTGTTTTCAAGTTTCTTGTTGTGCTGTATTTTCTGTTGATTCTGTGCTCTGCTGTTCTCTTGGGAAGTGTGTGGTCATTCTTTTTTTTTTTTTTTCTTTCTTCTATGCTTAATACCTTTTTAAGCATTTCCTATAGAGCTGGTCTGGAAGCTGCATAATCTCTTAGGGATTGGATGTCTGGGAAGGATTTTGATTCTCCATCACTGATGAAGCTGAGCTTGGCTGGGGAGGAAATTCTTGGTTTAAATTGTTTATCTTTGAGGACTTTGAATATTGGACTCCAGTCTCTTTTTACTTGTAGTGTTTCTGCTTGATTTTCTTGCTTTTCTTTTTACTTGTAGTGTTTCTGATTGATTTTCCCCAGTAGGTAGTCTGACCTTTCTCTCTTGCTTCCTTTAGGATATTTTCTTTTCTGCCTACTTGTGTAGGTGAATTACTATGTGTCTAGGGGTTGGTCTTCTTATTTGATGTCTTGTGAGGGTTCTCTGTATCTCTTGTGTAGGGGACTATTGTTAATAACACTGTATTATTTACTTTGAAGTGTGCTAAGAAAGTAGAAGTAGATTTTAAGTGTCCTCGACACACACATACACACACACACACACACACACACACACACACACATAATGGTAACTCTGCAGTGATGGATAGCTAATTTGATTGTTGTAATTATTTCACAGTGTTTACATTTATCAAGTTTTCACAGTGTACATTTTTAATATATATAATTTGTATTTGTCCATCATATCTCAGTAAAGATTGAGGAATAAAAATAATGAACCTTGATGTAGATTATGGATTCATATAAGGATGTGTGAATGAACATTCATCAAGTCTAACAAATAGACCACTCTTGCGGAGGGATGTCGATAATGGAGGACGCTGTGAATGTGAGGGGCAGGTGATATTTGGGAACTCAATAACTTCCATTCAAATTTGATGTGAACTTGAAACTGTCTTTTAAATAGTCTGTATAAAAGATAAATAAAAATAAAATGATGAGGATAATAATTGTGCTGAGGTGACTTCAACAGAACGTATTTGAAAACATAGTTGGTTTGTTTCATTAAACTCGCCACCTATCTTCAGCTCATCTCAAGAAAATTAACTTTCTGTATGTCCTTCTGGATTATCTATTGTTGAATCTGTGGTTTTTTACTAAAGGGCAGTAGTTTACTCATTCTAAAAAAAAGAAAGGAAATTCAGGTATTGTTTCTCAAGTGATCTGACTTTAATAACTCATAGTCTATAGTATTCTAAGAGGGTCACATTCACATTCACACTCAGGCCCTTGAAATACTCCAGAACTGCTGTCCTACATGCAATGAGCAAAAGCTGTAGAGAACTGAGGCTCATGCTCCTGTGTTCCCGGCTGTTGCACCGCAGTCACCCCATGGGCAGCCACGCACAGCCAGGACAGCAGACACACAGCCCCATGGCACCTGGGCAGGTTGTCCATGCAGAGTGGTGGCAAGGAAAGAAGAGGAATGTCAAAGTAATGATCCCACAGGAATAGCAAGTGCCCCTTGGAACTGCTCAACCCTTCCTCTCAGTAGTTATGGAGGTGTAATGATGGGCCCTCCAGACCTCCAGAATGAATGCTCTAGTGCATTCAGTTGCAAGCACAGAGTGAGTGCTTATCACACCCAGCAGCACCCAGAAGAAAACTGCACATGGCCAACAACTAGTGTGCTGTTTCCTAGTGCAGAGCTATCTGGAAGCCTAGCAGTATATAGATATTTTACATTATTTTTTCTATTTTAATACAAAAAACTAACCTAGCTAGGGGTCAAGTCACAAAGTGTGGGCACATAAAGAGGTAGAATGATTACATCTCCTGCTCTGGTCTTCAGTCAGAGGAAGCAACTCCACCTCTGGATGAGAAGCAGCCCAGCAGGCAGAGGAAGCTGAGAGATTTCAGAGCTATGCAGACTTGGGCTTCAATACTGGATTGATCACTTCGTAATTGTGCACCCCTAGATGGTTACTTAAACCTCTTCAGTTGATTTCCTCAAATGAAAACAAGCTGTAACAATGCCCACTTCATAGGTTTGCTTTGAATTTAAACGAGCTGATACTCAACAGGAGCTAGAAAATGATTCCTATTGTTATAACTGATCTCTCTGCACATAACTCTAGCTGGTTTTAATCTGAGGGCTTCCCTGCCCAGCTTCAGATCATTTCCTTCTGGATCTCACAGTTCATCACATTTTTCTCATGTTCTACAGAAATTCCAACTTTCTTGGCCAGTGGAGAAGGCAAGACAGACAAACAGCCACAAGCCCGTGGCTTACAATATTATTCCCACTCCGAAAATCTTTTCTTCTTACATAAGTCTTCTTTATCTAACACATAGACCAGCATCCCTCCCCCCAAAGAAAGGAAAAACAAACCAAAACTACTGGCTGATTTTTCTGTTAGGAGATAAATGTTATTCTGAAAGCATCTCTTATTAATACAGTTCTAAGCCTGTGTTACTCGGACCACTGAAACAACATAAGCCAAACCTTAGAAAGGCAATTCCCCTGCTGTCACACAATTTGAGGTTCTTAAGTGAGCCCAGAGAATCCTGGGCAACGGCCATTAAATGCATTCAAAAGTTAATCTGGAGGGAAGGAGATGCCAACTGCACAGTTCACACAAAGATTCTGCTGCCCAAGAGATACAGCTGAATGATGAATGGAGAGGAGCTAATCTCTCCTAGTGAGAAACAAATTTTTCCTCTGAGATAGGCACCAGGAAAAAATTGCAAAGTCAACATAATCAAGAAATGATTTTGAAGGCTGCGATTTTGTCTGAGTCTATTAAAGTTTAGGAGCTCTATTCCTGATCATCAAATTGATTTTGCTTCTTGGTTTTCTCTCTTTCTTCTTTCTTTCCTTGAAAATAATTTTAGCTGGTCCATATAAGAGTTACAATGAAATCAATTCTTTCTTTCTTAAAAAAGTAATTTAAGCTAATCTATATAAGCAGTTACAATAAAACCAATTCTTTCTTCCTTCTTTCTGTCTTTCCTTCCCTTCCTCCCTTTCCTCCCCTTCTGTCTCTCTCTCTCTCTCTCTCTCTCTCTCTCTCTCTCTCTCTCTCTGCTGCTGCTGTTTAGTCTCTGTTCCCTGAAACAATTCCACAAGGTTCCGGGCTCCATCTGTGATCAACGTCCCACAGAGAAGAAAATAATTTTAGCTAATTTATATAAGCAGTTGCAATGAAACCAATTCTCTCTTTTAAAAGACTGTCAAATATACACAAATTACTTTGAGAAATGAAAGATAAACTCTTTTGAAAATAATTTTTGAAGTTATTTTTGCTATGCTTATATTAAAAGAAATGTTAAATGTTCATTTCAAGACAGTATTCAAGAAATACCAGAACATACTATTTTAATCAAAGCTTAAGATAAAACTGGTGCCCATTAGGGAGCAGAAAATGCTGAATTCTATAGGTACCACAGCTGTATCTCTGCCTTTTTAAAACACTTCTCTACATGTGGTTTCATGATAATATCTAAGGTAGGCTATGTTGACACTTGTGAGAATATGGAGTATGTATGCACTCACATGCAATCATTGTGGTGATTACAAGAGGTACTTTGAGGAAGAGGAATAAGAAAACTGAAATGGGGACTTCTGGGAATATGGTGGTGGAGCCAGACAGGCTATGTGCGTTCCAGTGTGAGGGAGGGAGTGCATGGAAAATTTTGTGTATGTGTCAGTGAGTAGGTAGGCATGTGAGTGACTGAGTGGGGACTCAGGAGCAAGTAGCCAGGACTCTCCAGGTGAAAAGGCTGGTGCCACAGCTGCTCTGCTTGGTCCCAAGCACTGCCCAGGGTGAAGAAGCCAAGTGTCATTAAAAAAATTATTATTATTTTTATTATAAAGATGTGGGGTACAATTCAGGGTTAGGTATACAAATGTTGATTATGCAGGTGCCCTTGCTGATGGGGTGTGCCCCTCCCGCCCCTGGTAGTTTCCCTCAACTGCCAATCACACCCCTTCCCCTGACAGTTTCCCACTACTGCCAACCCCTTTCTTATAGTATTATAATTGTTCAGGCCCACTTATGAGTGAGAACATACGTTACTCTGTTCTTTGTTTCTGTAATAGATCACTGAGTATGATAGACTCTAAATCCATCCAAGTTGCTGCGAAGTCCATATGTTTGTCCTCCTTTATGACTGCATATAATTCCATTGCGCATATGTGTACCAATTTTTTTAATCCAGTTCAGCTTTGATGGGCATCATGGTTGGTTCCATGTTTTTGCTATTGTGAATACAGCTGCAACAAACATGCATGTGCAGGTATCTTTTTTGTAGAATGATTTGAGTTCCTCCAGGTATATTCCCAATAGTGGAATTGCTGGGTCACACAGAAGGTCAATTTCTAGTTCTTTCAGAAATCACCACACCTTTGCAAGTAGTGCCTTCCAAAGAGGTTGCACTAGTTTGCATTCCCACTAGCAGTGTAGAAGCGTTCCTTTTTACTCCGCATCCTCACCAGCATCTGTTGTGTTTGTTTTATTAATGATGGCCATTCTTACTAGGGTTAGGTGGTACCTCAATGTGGTTTTGATTTGCATTTCTCTGATGATGAGTGAGGCTGAGCACTTTTTCATGTGTCTGTTGGCTTCCCGTATACCTTCTTTTGAGAAGTGTCTATTCATGTCTTTTGCCCATTTTTTAAATGACGCTTTTTTGTTGTTTTTTTTTTTCTTTTGGCACATTTGAGTTTTAGCACCATTTTTAAAAAGTCAGCAAAGTCCTTTCTGGGAAGAAACTCCTGGGAGTGACTGTTGGCTCCAGACTCAGCACCTGGCCAGACACTGGCAGTAAGAGCTGCGGAGGGAGCACAGTCAGGGAGTCCAGAAGCAGAACCCCACTGGAGAACACAAAATAGACACTCAGCCACCATTTTTTTTTGAGTTGGAGTCTCACTCCGTCACCCAGACTGGACAGCAGCAGTGGCTGCTCCCGGCCACCACAGACTCAACCTGCTGGGCTCCAGTGATCCTTCCACCTCAGTCTTCCAAGTAGCTGGAACTACAGAGCGCGCTACCATGCCTGGCTAATTTTTTTTATTTATTGTAGAGATGAGGTCTTGCCAAGTTGCCCAGGCAGATCTCAAACCTGCAGGCTCAGACAATCCACTCACCTCAGCCTCCCAAAGGCACACTATTACAGGCTGAGCCACCAAGCCAAACCTGCCACCATTTTTGAAAACTGGTTAGAGACATGCTCTGGCTTACCCAGCTCGGATGGACAGACTCAACTCAGGAGTTGATCATGACCCAGAGGGACTATCCTGAAAGAACAAACTCTAGAGGGACAGGGTGAGTGCTGAGTCTCAGGCACTCCAGCCCCTACCTTGACTCAGTCATGGGACAGAGTGTGACCAGAAAAAGATGAGGAAGACCCTCAAAGAGAGCAGGGGTGAATTCAGGGCTAACCCAACCCCCTCCTCCCCAACAATCCTCTGAACATCAGACCCACACAGCTGGGGCATGACTGAGAGGGAGGAGCCCAGGTGGAGCCTGGATGTCAGCCTTGATAGGAGGACTCTACTCCAGGATAAATCTGTCTGGAGTGCTTCCCTCCAGCACCTGGGGAAGAGACAATTCTGCACTGCCCCGCTGGAGGGTATCCCCCGACCATACAAGAGTGGGAAGGGAGGACTGAAGCCACACCCACTCCCACTATCTCCTCCTCCTTTCCTTGTGGGACACTGGGAAGATTATGAATGAGACAGCATCTCTGAAGGAGACTGCTGAGGGATTTACCTATGAGCAGCTGAGAGGAACAATTACAGGACCTGCCACAAGAGGATAGGGGGTTTCTGTTTTTTGTTTCTCTATTTGGTTTTTGGTTTTTTAAAAATTTTTCCTTTGTGCACAGATGTGTATGTGAGGTTCAATCTGTATTCTCCCCATCTTTTTTTCTTTTTCCTTTTCTTTCTTTCTTCTTTCATTTTTTGTTTTCTGTTTAAGTATGTATATGAATGATTGAGTGTTCCTCTTTCAGTTTTTGTTTCTTTCTCTTTTTTTGTTTTGTTCTTCTCTGTTTGTAGTTTAATGTGTGTATGAATGCATGTGAGCGTTTGATTTGAATTCCTTTTATTTTCTCTTTTTTTCCATTTTGTGTTGAGAGAGAGAGTAGTTATCCTGTTTTTTCCTTTTTTCTTTTTCTTTTTTTGCTTTGTTCATTTTTTTCCATTTGTTTTAGTTTGTATGTGAGTGTTTAATTGCTTTTTGTTTTGGTTTCTGCTTTTGTTTTTCTTTGGTTCTATTTATTTTATTTCACTTTTGTCCACTTATTTCATTCTACTTTTATCTGTTCTCCTCATTGCTGTTACTGTATCTTGGACTCAGGGGGTACACACATGCTCATTGCATCATCATGTAGAATGGTTGTGGGGAATGGGTCTCAGGGAACCCGTACCACAATCATTGAGAGTTGCATGTAGTCTCTGGATCATAGCCCCCCATTCTTCACATTATTTGACTCTCAAAACTAAAAGAGGTGGCAAAGTTTCCCAACCACAGTTCCATTTCAAAAAAGAACTAATTTAGAGCCCTGATCAGGGAAAAATAGAAGGTTGAGCAACCATCAGAAGTGAAAGCCTCTCCTAATATCACTGAATAGCAGAACTAAAGAGGAAAGTAAGTGATCTCT